GGGCCTTATGCCGCCAGGCAGGGCTTAAATTCTTAAAACGACAAGTCGGGTCGTTACAAATTCATTAACGCGTGCTTGCATATTTTCTCAGTGCTTTATATTAGTTCACCTCGTAGAGTAAGATTTAATCGAGAAAGAAGTCTTGGCTACACGATTGAACTAATCATTGAGTGAATTCGTGAGAATCATTAGAACATTAGAGTGAATTGAACTAGAGTAAGATCCTGAATAGTCATCTTACACCTATCTTGTCACGACCTTTATTTTTCCCATTGATTATTTTGTTGTTGCCTAATTCTTGTCTACCTATGATCAATTGTTAATTTTAGTTTATGATCACTCCAAACAAAGTGTTAATCATCCTGAATAGCGCTTAAACCAGAAATTACTTGAACATTGTTTAAATCTAATTCCTATGGAGACAAAAATTAAACTATACTATCTTTGGCTAGCGACCATTAATTTCGTGTTCTATTTTGCACTCGCCAAATTTTGGCCCCGTTGTCGGGATTGGCAATCAATAGTGTTCAAAATAATTTTTCGTGCTAATTTAGGAATCAATTTTATTTTATTCTTTACGATTTTCTCTCTATGTGTGCATGCAACAGGTTAAGTTCGTTGGTGTATGACTCGATCTTCTTCAAAATAAGTAATACACTACAAATCGGAGTTGAAAAAATACATGCGACAACTGAGAAAAAAGAAAGAAACCACCAGGGAATTCTTGGGGAAATCTTCAAACCAACAGAATATGGCTAAGAACGGTGAGGAGATAGTTGATTTGGCTGCACGGGAAGCAGCCCAACAGGAAGCAGCTGCTGAAGCAGCTCTTAGAGCTTATGAAACAGTTAACGGGAATGGAGGACGAAGATTCAACCTGAACCGGCCTCTGGTTGAAGATGAATTTGAATATAATATGCATAGGCTTGAACGATCACTGGGTGACTATTGCCGGACCAGTCTATAATCAGGGATTATCAAGTGTCAGACCTCTACCCGTAGAAGCAAATAATTTTGAGTTGAAGCAAGGCTTACTTCAAACCATCCAGAATAGTTGTGTCTTTAGATGGAAGTTGAATGAAGATCCGAACACTCACTTGATGGACTTTGATGAAATCATGAACACCTTTCAGTATAATGGAGTGTCTAAAGATGTAGTCTACTTAAGGGAATTACCCTTTTCACTGAAGGATGGCGCAAAGCTCTAGCTTTGAAGCTTACCAAATTGGTCGATCAGGACATGACAAAAAAGTTTCTTGACAAGTACTTCTCAGCTGCAAAAAATAGTGAAATTCAGTAGGGAAATCAAAAACTTCTACCAGAAGGATACTGAAACGGTCTTCGAGGCTTGGGAGAGATTCAAGGAGATAATTAGAAAGTATCAGCATAATGGAATCGAATTATAGATGCAACTCCAGAATATTTGGGATGGAGTGACACCCTCCTCACGACGAACTCTGAGTACTGCAGTTAGAGGTCCTTTAATGAAGAAGACTCATGAGGAGATTGTTGCAATTCTTGATGAGCTCTCTGAAGATGCTAACCAATGGCTCATAAAGAGTAATGATAGAAGAAAATCAGCTGGGTTCACCAGGTAGATTCTAACACATCAGTACAGGCCCAGCTAGACACTATGGCCAAAGAGATATGAAAGTTAACCTTAGCCAAGGTCCAAAGCCAGTCATCTTTGGTCTGTGATTTTTGTGGAATGGGTCATCCAACACATGAGTGTTAGGCCTCAACTGCAAATGAAACGGTAAATGATGTGGGCAGCTTTAATAGAGGCAACTAGTAAAGTGGCAATAATTTTAACTCCTTAGGGCAGAGGCACCCAGTATTTTCTTGGAATTCACCCAGTGATAGTGCGAATGCATGGAAACAGAATAACTCCAGACCTCAAGGATAAGGAGCTCCAGGTTTTCTGAACCGGCAGAAGCAGCAATAGCTGCCTCAACAGTCCAATCAGTCTAACATGGAAGACCTAATGAAGGCACTTATCATTAAGACATATGAGAGACTGGAACTTTACGGCACATCCATCCGAAACTTGGAGAGACGGGTGGGACAACTTGTGAATCTATTGTGAGAGAATGTGAAGACCCGATAGGTCATTTTGAGTTTTAACCTTAATTTCTGTATTTCGAGACCTCAAATAGCTCCATTTAGTATTCTTCGATTTGTGTGCACAATCCGTGTCTTTTTTCGAAAAGGATTTATGTGAAAAATTGAAGAAAATGTAAATTTTAACCTTAAAACCTATTTGAGTTGACTACGGTCAGCATTTTGTATAAACGGATCGGATCAGTGTTTTAATGGTCCCGGTGGGTCTGTATCCTGATTTGGTACTTGGGCATAAATTGAATTCGGAAGTCCCTAACTTGATTTAACGTGAATTGTTGAAAACTAATAATTTGAAGGATTAAAGAATTCCTCAGTTTGACCGTATATTGACTATGTTGCTACTGGGTTCAATTTTCGGTTACGGAACTTAAAATAGGTTTATTTCACTATTTATGACTTGTCTGTAAAATTTGGTACAAAACGGAGTTGATTTGAAGTAATTCGGACGTCCGGTTGTAATTTAAAAGTTCTTAAGTTCTTTGAAAATTTCATATAATTTGATATTCGATTCATAGTTCTAGGTGTTATTTTGGTATTTTGACCGTGCAAGCGAGTTTGTATGATGTTATTACAGTTGTGTGCATATTTGGTTTGGATCTCGAGGGGCTCGGGTGAGTTTCGGATAGGCTACGGACCATTTCGGACTTAGAAGGATTGCTGGTTTTTCACTGTTTCTGATATCCGATACGTTGTTCTTCGCGATCGCGAAGCTACTCTCACGATCGCGAAGGGTAACTAGGGACTGGGGAGGTTTTCTTCTTCGCGAACGCGGAGAAGGGCTCGCGGATGCGGAGAAGGGCTCGCGAACACGGAGCATTGGGATCACCCTTCGCGAACGCATCTCTTCACTTGCGAACGTAATGAGTAAGGGATTATGGGGGAAGGCTGGGACTTGTTCTACGCGAACGCAAGCCCAGACTCGCAAACGCGGTGGTCAGGGGGGATAGACCATCACAAATGCGTGAGGTTCCTCGCGATCGTGTCAGGCCCTTCATGAACGCGAAGAAGGCCTGACGCCCAGTCAATTAAATATCCCAAAGCTGGGATTTTCTTCATTTTTCACCATCTCCACATTTGAGCTCGGCCCAAGGGCGATTCTGAAGAGGAATTTCATCCCCACTTCATAGGTTAATAGATTTTAACTCATTTTCTTTCATTTCCATCAACACCCATTGAGTTCTAGCCGTTAATCTACGCTTGTTCATGGTAGAAATTAGGGATTTAGGTAGAAATTGGGAATTTTGAGAAATTGAGATTTAGACCTCAAATTGAGGTCGAATTTCGAAACTAATCACATAATCGGGCTCGGGGTGAATGGGTAATTGAGTTTTGGTCCGAATCTCAGATTTTGACTAAGCGGGCTCAGAGTTGAGTTATGTTGTCTTTTTCCAAAATCATTAAAGATTGAATCTTTTTCACTCGTGGGTAGTTTCTAAAGCTTATTTTGAATTGTTTGAACTATATCTGTTTAGATTCGATTGGTTTGGAGGCGAATTTTAGAGGAAAGGCCTAGTTGAGCTTTGATTTAATTACAGAGCAGGGTAAGTGTCATGGTTAACTTTGAGTTGAGGGATTAAGACTTATTAGTCTATTTGCTACGTGTTTTGTATGTGGGAATAATTTATATGTGAGGTGACGAGTACTTATACTCTATAATTGGGTTAAAGCATGCAGGTGGAACTTAATTATTTGTATTTTACTGCATCGTTACTTATGATACCCATGCTTAGGTTAGGTTATTACTTCTTTGATTATTCGTTTCATAATTATTGCTTATTCCATAGTTATTGAATATTTGTGGAAGTTGAAGCTTGGTATCTAGCTTGGTATCTCGGCACCATATTTGACGCTAAATATATTCTCCGCATTATTTACTTCTTGAATTCATTTATTCATTATCACATGGCGAGGAAGAGAGTAAAACCACGAAGGGTGATGTCGTGCCATTCATCTCATTTATTCATTATTACATGGTGAGGAGTAAAAGCATGAAGGGTGATGTTATACCATTTTTCATAGCATGGGTTTATCTGATTTCATTGGTTGATGATTTACTTGGCTATTTCATGATTTCATACCTGTTGTAGTTGTTATATTTGCCCCATTTTTGCATGTCCCCTCCTAGTTTGTACATTATCATTCTTTGTTATTATTATTGTTGCTTCATAGCTACTTGTACAGGTTTATTTACGTAGGTGTCCTGTCATAGCCTCGTCACTACCTCATTGAAGTTAGGCTCGACACTTACGGAGTACATTGGGTCAGTTGTACTCATACTACACTTTTACACTTCTTGTGTAGATACTAGTATTGGTCCCAGCAGTGCATGAGATGCGTCATCTCGAATCATTGTATACGGAAACTTGAGGTAGATGTGATGGCATCCGCAGACTTGAAGTCCCTTTCCTTTTCCCACTTTTACTGTCCATTTCCTTCTAAACAATTGTATTTATTTCAAACTCTATTTGTAGACTAGTTGCTCGTGTACTCGTGACTCCGGATCTTTAGGGGTTGATATTATCACGTGACTTATATTAGCACAATGTTGGATTTGGTTTCTATTTCTCATTGTACATTATCATTGTGGTTTTAACTATTTAAAATTATCTATTTAATTATCCCACATCGGCTTGCCTAGCAAGTGGATATTAGTCGCCATCATGACCCCGAGGTTGGGATTCTGGGTCATGACAGAGAGGGTTCCAGGAACTCTCCCTGCTAATAGTACAAGAAATCCAAAAGAGACAATAAATATGATGTCTCTGAGGAGAGGGCATATAGTGAAGGACCCCATGGCAAAACAAAGGGATGAGTTAATTGAAGGAAAAGTAGAAATTGTGGGGGAGTAGAAAAATAGCAACACTCAAGAAAGTGAGGTGATGGTAGATGATGGTCTAAAAAAGAAGGGAAAGACTAGAGCTCAGAAAAAGAAGAAAGATAGGAAGGCAATAAATGAGGAGATTGAAGAAAGTAAATATATGCATGCTTTACCTTTCCCTCAGAAGCAGAGAAGAGAGAAGCTGGACAAACAATTTGGGAATTTCCTAGATGTTCTCAAGCAGTTGCATGTTAATCTACCATTCACAGAGGTACTTTCACAGACGCCAGCCTATGCGAAGTTCCTGAATGAGATATTGTCCAAGAAGTGGAAAGCGGAAGAGACATTGGTTGTCAAGCTCACAGAGCATTGTAGTTCCATTCTGCAAAACAAGCTCCCTAAAAATGTGGAGATCTAGGGAGTTTTACTATACCTTGCTATTTAGGAAGCACTAAGTTTGAAAAATCTTCGTGTGATTCAGGCGCTTCTATTAAGCTTATGCCTTTGTCTATTTTCAGGAAATTGGAGGGAGAGATTGGAGAAATCAGGTCGATACATGTGCCCTTGCTGCTAGCGGATCAGACCACAATCATACCTGAAGGAATAGTGGATGATGTGCTAGTTCAGGTGGATAAATTTATGTTTTCTGTGAATTTTATTGTGACAAACATGGAAGAGAATAGAGAGGTCCCTCTGATTTTGAGGAGACCCTTCTTGGCTACTGGCAGAATGCTTTGAAGCTTTGAAATCGAATTTGAATTTTCAAAAATCATTATTTATTTAGATTGGGTGTTGTTGCAAATAATTGAGAATATTGTTTGGAGTTTATATCTCAATTTTGAGGGTATTTGATGAAGATTAGACTTGATTTTGCTGAATTTCAGATTGAAACTAGAAGAAGAAGAAGAAGAAGAAGAAGAAGAAGAAGAAGAAGAAGAAGAAGAAGAAGAAGAAGAAGAAGAAGACATAACATACAATATACTTACGAAATTGTAGCAAAGTTGTAGTATAATTGTATGTAAATTGTATTCTATTGTAGTTATATATATATTTTTATTTGAATGTTGTATGAAAGTTAAAAAATAGTTATTGTATAAAATTTGTATTTAAGTTATCAATACTATCTTTTTACATAAAATTATTGATATGTATCAAAATTGTATCAAGAGAGAAAGTTTTGATTGAAATTTTAGAGAGGAAGAAACACACACCACATACAAGATATATACAAATCAGATATCAAATATACAAAAGACATATTGTATAAAAATTGTATTTAAGTTGTATGATATTGTAGTTGTATTTAACTGGGTAGAAATAATGTATGAAAGTTATAGATGTAAGACCCCAATATTTTAAATAAGGACATATTGGACATTTAGCAAATTATTAAAAATAAAACAAACAAATAAAAAAAAACAAAAAAAAGGGATGGAAACAAAAGGGACGAAGCCCATTAGAAAGTAACCTACCAAGGTTTGAAAAGGGTTTAGAAAGAAAAGAAGCTTTTGCCTTCTGGAGAAAACAAAAAACAGAAGAAAAAAACCAAAAGCAGAAGGAAAGAAAGAAAGAGAAGAAGAAGAAGAAGAAGAAGAAGAAGAAGAAAGCTTTGGGCAAAGGCTTAAAGAAGAACTAGGGGTTGAAATTGAAAGTATTAAAGTTCTTCTTCGACTAAAGAGGTTAACCTTCTTCTTCTCATCTGTTGAATNGGAATAAATTATACTAAATAGTTTGAAATTGATAGAATTATGGACTAGTTCTATGATTAAATATGAATCCATAAATTAAGACTCAAACATGAACCCCGTGGTTGGATATTTTAAATTAGTTATGAATTAGTTTAAACTAGAAAACTGACACGAGATTGATATGATGTGATATTAGATTGATCGGAGAAAGTTGTACGGACCGCTCGAGGTGACTAGTTTGGTATTTGACACGAGTACTGTGAGTAGTAATCTTACCACAATTTGTGTTTTCATAACCTGCATGGTTTATATATTATTTTGAAAATAAATGTGTTACTGATGCTTTGAAATTGCATGTGGGACAAGTCATTTACTTGATATGGTACCGAACAATTTACTTGAGATGTTTACCGGTTAATCTAAATGTTTTCACCGTTACTAGATATATTTTACTGTTACTTGAGATATGATTATTGTTCCCGAAATAAAATTACAAGATTTGAAAGAAATGATATGCCCTTTGTTATTTTTAAAATGCTTTCGTACGAGTATTACTGTTTACAAGAAAGAGTATAAATGGGAGGAGACTTTGAAGGATCCCGTAGCTAACGGTGGGTTCGTTAGACCTGTTGTACCTTGTATTTACCGATTATCGAGTACAGTTATAGCCCTCGCTAGTGGAAAGGTAGAACTAGCATATAATTACAGTTTTCCCTCGAGTAGGGACCTACAGTTATATTGGACTCCTTTTATGAAAGGATCCACACAATGATACATATTACATGATCATTCCTTGGAAACCTCCCAAACTAAAAGATTTGTTATGAGACGGTGTGTACCGAGTTTATTACAGAATTGTTAATTGACTTTTATTTATATGAAACACATGATGAAACGGATTATTGTTTATTGTTTCTGAAAGGGCATTTTTATTATATTTTCGGGTTAATAAACATGTTTTCTGACTTGTCCCCAATTAAAAACAGTTGTGGTTAAGTGTTATTACTCACTGAGCTAGCGACTCACTCCCCGCTATTTTGTTACAGAGACACTAGATGACGCGAGCGAGGATTTCGTTAATTAGAGTATACAAGTTGCTAATTCCTCGTGAGCCCTGCACTTGTTCGCGTGGGCAAAGAATTTATTTATTGTTAGTGTATTTTATTTTGAACTCTTAGAGTCACTCCATAGTCATTCTTATTGGTGTCATGATGATTCATTCGTTATATTGGACTAGTTACTAGTATTGCACTTTCTCTCTATATTTTGAGATGAGTTTAGTATTATTATGTTGGTGATGGTAATGTTGGTGAAAATTCATTTTGGTTAGTTGATGAAGATTGTGACTTATTTTGGTGAATATTGGTTGGTTGTTAATTATTTATCAGATAGAAAAACTTTTGAATAGTCTTAAAATAGGGGAAACTCTATCTGATTTTCTGTAAAATACCGATGAGGCTTACTTGGAAGGCACTTGCACCCAAGTTAAATTGGGTTGTGACAAAGTTGGTATCAGAGCCCTAAGTTATTCTTGTGACTATTTGAGCACACGTCAGTAGTAGAATCTCAATTACGGTTATTTAGCCGGCCATTCCCATAATCGTGATTTTGCGAGAGTGTGATAGGATGTGTCTATCTTTCTTTCTTGTTTTTCCTTACGTGTGTGACGACTAGGGTCTACTAATTGAATCTTTCACTGTTTATCTTATTACTATAAGACTCGATCTTGATCACTCGATTATATGAATAGGTGAGAGGTTCAGGAGGGCATCAAATGTGGCCCTTGGCAGATAACCGTCAGGGGAAGAGGTAGAGATTCCTTAAAAGGCTGATGAAAGGGTTCTAAAGCCACCATGAGAGGATTTCTTACCACCACGAGATGCCTTATAGGATCCACTCCTGAAATAAGTAGTATCCCACAAATATAGCCATATGGAAGTGTTACCATTGAGTTACTTACCTCATCTTGATGGGTATAATGGGTGGACAGGGAAGAATGGGAAACAATTGGGCTCCTAAAGGCCTCAAGCACCTACATTAACTAAGATGGTCGAAAACAGAGATATATCCTTAATAAAGTTCCTAAAAATTGAAACCACCATGTTTAACGTTTCTGATTGTTCGGAGGATCCTCAGAGGTTCTTGATGAAATACTTGTATTACGAGTTCTAGGATGCTTTACTAAGAGACTCATAATAGAAACTTACAGCCTAGGGAGCATGGTCAATAAAGACATGGTATGATATCGTACTGTTAGGAACATAAATAGGTGCAACACAATTGATTTGGAACAAGTCTCTAAACTATTCATAAATCGCTTCTTTCTTGGAAGCCGAAAGCGTGAATCTACTAGGTAAGAAATTGGTTAACACACTAGGATACCGATATATGACGCTAGGCTTCCTCAGCTAGCTAGATACACATTATCTCAACCTTAAGGAATTATCTAAGGGGTACTTAACCTTTTAAATAAGACAGTAACCTCGTATACAAAAAGTACGGCCAATTCTATGATAGCTAGCTTGCTAAAGATATTGAAAATATAGATATTATAGGCATGCAACAAAGTTTTACGAAGGAAGTACAAGACTGGGAATTTTTTCAATGAGTATTTTAGTGTGAGTCAAACAACTGAAAACATAGACGGTGGGAGAATCTGAGTTAACCGAATATGTTTAATAAGCTTGTCAAATTCAAGTTGAACATAAATATATACTAGTCAACTTGATATTACTTAATATGGTCTACTTTGTAATAGATCGGTTATATCTTCTTGCCATGCCGCTCTCGATTTCCATGTAAAGGAAGTTGAGTTTGGGATACTGAATTAACCTAGTTTCATCCTAAAATGTAAATAAGGTCCAAAGATAAATAAGGTTATATTATATCATATATCAAAGCTCAACATTACTAAAGAATGATTGTTGGGGTCTCTTGGCCTATGATGAGAGACATAAGGGATAAGACACCTAGCTTGGAAAAGGTACCAATAGCTAGAGAATTATTTAATGTATTTTCTGAGAATTTACCAGGATTATCTCAGTAGCAAAAATAGACTTTGGCATCGATTTGATACCTAACATAACCTATATCGAAACCCCCATATGACATGACACCAGCAGAGTTAGAAAGAGCTAAATGAATAGTTACAAGACCTAATAGACAATAGTTTTATTAGATTGAGTATAATTTTATGGGATGAACCGTTAGTACTATTTATGAAAGAGGAAGATAGGTCATTAAGGGTGTGCATCGACTAAAAGCAATTGAAAAGGTAACGATGTGCTATAAGTACCTATTGCCTAATATAAATGATCTGCTTAATGAATTTCTTAATATCAGAGAATAATATATTCCTAGGGCAGCATTCCAAACTCGGTATGGTATTATATGGGTTCCTGGTGATATCTTTTGGACTTACAAATACTCCAACTGTATTGTTGGACTTAATGAATAGGGCATTCATGATGTTTTTGGGCAGATTTCTCATAGTATTTATTGATGATGTTACCTCGTAGCCAGGAAGAACACGAGAATTACGTGAAACTAAATAATAGATGCTGCAAAAAAAATTGAGTTATGCCAAGTTCTCCGAGTGTGATATTTGGCTAGACTTTGTGGTATTCCTCGGTAATATTGTATCTAAAAAATAAGATTATGATAGATCCTAAAAAGATAGAACCAGTTCAAAAAAAAGTCAAAACCCACTACTCTTTCATAAATCGTAGCTTCTCGGGCTTTGCAAACTACCTCAGGTAGTTTGTGCAGAAAATTTTTGAATAGCAGCGCCGCTAACCAAGTTAACTTAGAAAAATGTAAAGTTCCAGCAGACGAAGTAATATGAGATTAACTTTCAGAAACAAAAAAATATATATGTTTGGCAACATGTATTAGCCTTACCATTATGTTCTAGAGGATTCATAGTGTTATGTAACACTTCTAATGTCGAATAAGGATAATTGTATTTGCTCTGAGGGTCTGGAGACACTTTTTATGTGAGATTTATATAGACTACAAGACTCTGAAGTACGTTTTCCAGCAGATATATCT